CTGGACTGGCAGGGGGCTGTAGCCAAAATGAGTTTGTCTTTAAGCTCTTCTTCCATTCATCCAAATCAGGCCTAAACATGCTTGAATTGCATGAATTATGCTCTCTTACTCTATTGGCCTACAAAACACACAAATAGAGGCAAATAACTCAGAATTATAGGAAACTAAGCAAAAGAAGTAAGTAAATTGGGCATGTATATGTATGAAATTATGAGCTTAACACATTCCTTTGAATCACTGTTGAGGTTAGAGTAATACCAAAAATATCTAGACTATTTTAAAAAATCCTTTCATATTAACAATTCTTAATTAAAATAACATCATATTCTATAATATGATCAAAATAATAATATAAGAAAACTCATGCGTTATCGTTATGAGGACAAGAGTATAAAATTGCACGCTGTAATAAGCTATTCATATAATTTTTTATATACTATGCTAGCATGTTATAGGCTCTTCAAGAAACCTAAATATTATGATAACTTCTTTAAAAATTTAAATACATTGCAACGATATTGAACTTGAATTCGAATTCATAACCCAATCAATACACTCACTTGAGGCAATTAGATCATTTTCACTTCATGAAAATTAAGTATAGACATTGAGCTTCAAGCTCCTTAACTAATTAGAGATTTTATTTCAATAATTTATACAGTGTATGACATTTTACATCTGTCATGTAACATCCCGACCCAAAATGTAACCATTCGTGAATTTATTTAATTTCATAAAATTTGATTTACAATTTTGCCTCCGGGAATAGGGGTAAATTGGTCACTTTTTAATATGGAAGGATTTTGGGAAAATGACTGGTACTTTTATGTAGATCATACCGAGATGAGTCCGTAGACACATAGTGGGCTCGAATTGGAGTTGTAACGAGCAAGTTACGATCAAAACAAACTCAGTGGCACAACCGTAATTAATTCAAAGTGGGTTTAATAAAATCTGAAAAACCCCTCATTTCTCTCTCTCTCTCTCTCTCTCCCCCCGGTAAACCCTAGGGGTGGGCATTGAAACCGCAAAACCGAACCAAACCAATCCGAAAAAAACCGAAAAAAACCGTGTTGACAGAAAAAGTCAAAAACCGAGTCCAATCCAAACCGGACCGGTTCAGACCGGTTCCGGTTCCGGTTTTTCATCCTAAAGAACCGGTCCAATAAAATTAATATATATATATATATATATATATATATATATATATATATATATTTTATATTATATATATTTATATTTGAAATTATTTAATATTTTCATATGTGGCTAAGGTTGATTGGGTGTGTATGCTGCTACCAAAGGTGAGCACACACAGAATCACACGAAAAAAAAACGCTGACTAAGTGACTTAGGGTTTTTTACGGTTCAGACCGGTTCCGGTTCCGGTTTTTCATCCTAAAGAACCGGTCCAATCCGAACCGGTCCAATAAAATTAATATATATATATATTTTATATTATATATATTTATATTTGAAATTATTTAATATTTTCATATGTGGCTAAGGTTGATTGGGTGTGTATGCTGCTACCATAGGTGAGCACACACAGAATCACACGGAAAAAAAAACGCTGACTAAGTGACTTAGGGTTTTTTCATTTTGGTCTTCGTTTCCTCCCTTCCAAACCTCTAAGCTCTCTCCTTCTCAGTCGCCGAAACCAGAGGCTCTGTGTGCGCCATCGCCAAACCGCTCTGAGCCATCATCTCTCTGAGCCAAACCTACCTTTCTCTCATCCTTCCTCTCTCTCATCCTCTCTGACAGAAGCTCTGTCTGCGCCAACAATCCTCTATGCGCAAAATCCCTCTCAGGCAATCCTCTCTGTCATCCAGCGCCCTCTCAGCCTCCGCTTCTCTCAGAACCGCCACCTCTCTCAGTCGCCACCATCTCTCTCAGTCGCCGCCACCTCTCTCAGTCGTCGCCATCACAGGTCAGATTTTGTTTTCGTTTTTTCCTTTTTTTTTTCCTTTTCCCCTTTGAATCTGTGGCTCACTCCAAATGTTATATTCTTCACAGATTCAGCACAGCAGTTCGCAGCCATCTCTTCATTTTATTTACCTCTCTTTCTCTCTATCAGGTATGATTCAACTCTTCAATTTATTTAATATCTGATTGTTATTGTTTGCTGGGTTGTGGTTTGGTTTTTTGTGGCTGCTGTTCTATTTTTGTGGCTGCTGTTCTATTTCAAATTGGATTATTAATGTAATAATTTTACCAAGGACTTGTAAATTTCCATTCTTGCTGATAAGAAACCTCAGTGCCCTTCCTTCAAGAATTGGGTAAATTTCCATTTTTGCCGACAAGAAACCTCAGTGCTCTACTCTATAAATGAATAAAACCCGATGGTTTAAACTACAGCACATTGAGTTTTATACATAATGATATGGCTTGTTTTTTTTCTCTTTTTTCTCTCTGTTTTAGGTATCAAGTTTTAATGGCTTGTTTAAACTTGTAACTCATAACTTAGAAACTAAGGCATTGCTAAGACATGTTATTAGTACTTACAATGCTTATATGAATCTGAAATTTACTTGCTCAATTTGTTTGCGAGATTGAATCTGAAATTGTTAATATTTCTGAAATTGTTAATATTTTATTGGTTGTAATATGGCATTACCATGTGAATCTGAAATTGTTATTAGTACTTACAATGCTTTACTACAATTCATTGATTTAGGAAATTGAATTGGCAGCAGTTGGTGCAGATCAGCAAAAGATTTCTGGAGCAGTTTGCAGCTTTTCTGCCACTCTCTGAGGTATTCTTCATTTCTCTCTCTGTCTCTCTCTCAGATTTTGATGTTTTGCAGAAATTCTGTATATTTTTTAGTTGTTTTTTGTGGATAAATGTCCTCTGTTATTAATAAGAATTCTGCAGAAATTCTGCTAACATTTGCCTTAGTTTGTGTTAAATACGTGCTATATATGGTGGTAAAAAAAAAATTGCATGATAATGTTTAATTGGATTGTATAATGTGTTTTGTTTCTTTTAGTTGGATTATAAAATGTTTAAGTTTCTTTTATTTATTTATTTTTAAATTGAGGTGTTGTTTATCATGTTGAAGTTGGTTTTTTTTTTGTTTGTTTTTGGTTTCTTAAAGAATTCATGGATGAGTTGAACTTGAACCCATTTGGAGAGGTGCATGGCACTACTAATAGTTTGATTGAATTTGGGTTGTAATTTATTTTGGAATTTATTTTGCTAAAGTTTGATTGAATTTGGGTTGTAATTTATATGTTGTTGAAGTTGGATTGTATTTTTATTGAAGTTGGATTCATTTTGATGTGTTGAAAGCTTGATGGAAGCTCAAATTTTGGGTATTTTAGTATATAAATGCATTTTGGGCAGATCTGGAAAAAATGTAAAAAATAAAATTTTGGGCCCAGCAAAAACCGGAACCGCAAGAACCGAACCGGAACCGGACAGGTCCGGGTTGGTTCGGATTTTTGTTTGGATTTTTGGCAGAACCGGTCCAAACCGAACCGGTCTGCAATTTCAGTTCAGGTTCCATATTTTAGAGAAAACCGGTCCAAACCGGACCGTGCCCACGCCTAGTAAACCCTAAACATTTCTCATTCTCTCCCTCCGTCTCGCTATTTCACAGACCGAATTCGACGAGAGCTCCATCGCTTCCAATTCCTCTTCAGTTTTAAGGTTCAAATCTCTCTCTCTCTCGCTCTCTTTCTCTCTGTTATAGATTTCAAGTAAATTATGCTGTGTTATTTTTATTTGATTCAGCTCACTAGCCTGCAATGTCTGTGTCTCGTTTTGAAAATTTAAACATTTTTCTGGTTATTTCTTCGATTTAAGGGAATTCATGAACTGGGTTTGTTTTTTTCAGAGAGTCATTCTGATTAGGTAGAGGTTTTAGTTGCTGGGTTGTTAGCTCAGTTAACAGCATATAAGCAGAAATTAGTATTAGCTCTGACAATCTTGTTACTTGGATTTGTTTTTAGATTTTGGAATATGAGTCAGCTTCAAGCTTCAATTTTTTCTCATATTATTACATGCAAATAGATATTTTTTTTGTGTGGGTAATATGAATATCATTGAGCTATGTATCTGTTCCATAACTTGACTAGAATTTGGAGTTACGCTGAGAAATATGATACAGAACTAATAACCATTTAAAATTATGTGTGTGCTAGTCTGATTGCATAGATTAAGGCTAAGTCTGATTGTACAGTTTAGGGCTAAGTCTAATTTGACCGGATTCTAAGTCTGATTATATGTTGGATGTGAGACTCTCAGGAAGGTCCCCAAGGCCAGGGTTAAGTGGTAAGCTGTTGTTCATATTAGAGTTTGAGCGAGATGAAGGCGGTTGTGGGGATGGTAGTTTCCAATAAGATGCAGAAGTCGGTGGTGGTGGCGGTGGACAGGCTGTTCCATCACAAGCTTTACAACCGGTATGTGAAGAGGACCTCCAAGTTCATGGCCCATGACGAGCAGAATCTGTGCAACATTGGAGACCGAGTATATCTCTTTCTCTTTCTTTCTCTTTCTCCTCTTTATTTATTTGATTACTTTTAATTGTGTTTTAAGCAAATCATTTCATCAGGTGCGGTTGGACCCATCGAGGCCTTTGAGCAAGCGTAAGCATTGGGTTGTGGCTGAAATCCTCACCAAAGCACGCATCTATCAGCCTCCTTTACCATCTGATTCATTTTCAGCTTCACCTCATTCTACTTCTTAAGGTTTTGCTTTCATTCCAACTACTGTTATATTCTACTCTTTCAACAATGACATAAGCTATTTTTTTCTAAGAAAAAAATAATAATCCTAGTTTAATAGTTTTTGAGATTTATAAGTCATATAATATAACAATTGCAATACTCATTTTCTAAATCCTAATAAGTAAGGCAACCAAATGATGTTTTGGCTGGAAACCTAGAATCCTAAAGGATGTAATTCTTTTTAAAACGTTGTAAAAGCCATAATAGGTCTTGGTGCGATAGTTTAGTACACAGCATCACAGGTTTTCTAAGAAGTTGGTTCAAATGTCCTATGGTCATGTATGTTTTTCTGCTTGTCTTTGCATTTTTATTAAAATAAATTCTTGTGTGTTTCTAGTCATTTGCAATGACAAGACTCCTAAATGTTGTAAGTTTTCGAGTCTAACAACGGTAATAAACTGTGGTCAGTTAATTTGGCAGAATTTGTAACTGGACATGGCATTGGCATGCATAGTCACAATCGTATGCGAGACTAAAATGAAAATTTTCAGCATGTAGAATTGTGATTTCAATTTCATTCTTTTTGGCAGGTGAAGCTTTTTGAAAGGCATCCGAGAGAGTGACTAGACGTTAGATTTAGCCACAGAAAAGTTTCCGTTTCTTGAATATTTTTCTTGTATGGTTGAATGTTTCTCTTATAATCTAAAGCCTAAAATAGGAGTGATTTGTACCTCTACAATTCTTTAGAATGTGTAGTGCAATTGAACGTGCATGAAAATGTTGTTGCAAAGTTTTCATATATGCGATTTAAGCTTAAAGTGATTGGAAAGTATAAATCTTTCTGAAACATCTGCCTTGGATACCCAAAATAGTTCACAAACCTTTTGTTTTACATAGTTACATATTCATGTTCCATGACAATTGTATATAAATTAGATGCCTTGGATACCCAAAATAGTTCACAAACCTTTTGTTTTACATAGTTACATATTCATGTTCCATGACAATTGTATATAAATGCACCAATACTCTAACGAAAGAAAAAAAGTTTGTTTTGGTCCCGGTGCTGTATAGCAAAGTATGACAAAGATCATTGGAGTGAAAATTTCATGCACGCCTGTATTCATCTCCGCAGTCACCAATCACTTTAAGAAGATTCTTCCCTTTCTTTGTGACTTCTTGTATACTGCTTGTATCATCCTCATCAAGAGTAAGTGAAAACACAGCATTGGAGTCTTGGATGTGTTCTGACAACCCAAGTCTAACACCTATCATCGATCCTGCCACAGCTTGCTGCAATTTTTACAAGATGAACAAAACCGAAATACGCATATTATGACTTAATTGATGTAAATAAGTTTCTGAGGTTAAAAAATCCTATAACTTCCGACATAATAGTTGAACTTGCTCTACCTGATCTAATATGTATTTCACGGCAACATTGGGGATTGTGGCTCCATGTTTTGAAGCAATTCCTTTGAGTGTCTGAAGCAGAGCTTGAAAGAGACTCCATCCTCCCCAGGCATCGACCATCTGCCACACATTACAAATCTAGTAAGATGGATTCGAAACAGATAAGTATTGTAACTTCTATGTTTTCAAAAATGAGTCCTGGTAGTAACAACTCTGTGTTATGCCATGCATTCCATCTCCCGACTAGCATCATTCTAATTGTTCCCTCAAATCATGCAAAGTGTGAAAGCAATATCCACCCAATTTTTTGCTGGATTTTGTATCTAAAACTGACTTGGAGGCAACTTGGGGTACATCTTGACGACCGCATTAACTAACTAATTTGTCAGTGCAATCAATGTGTTCAAGACGACGTACCCGTTTGTACTTCTGGAGGGAGGGAGTATTTAGTGGAGGCCCAGCAAAGGGAATGTTTAAGTTGGTATCAAGGAACTTTTCAGATAATAGGCCACCCATTACTGTTCCATACCTGCAACAGAAAGCTTTATGATCAAAAGGAATACAAGAGAATGCTTGAAAGTCTACAGCAGCTATTAAACGTACAAACAACAAAATTGATTATTCCTTCAAAGGATCACTATTTGTTTTGGGATAAGTACAATTCCTTAGCACCAGGGTTAAGGAGATGATTCTGATAGAAATGTTCCCAGCTAAGATAAGAGCTGATGTCGAGAGCATGTTGACAGAGTGGTGGATGATTGACCATTTATATTCGTCCTGTGCATTGTGCATTTGTGTGTGTGAGTGTGTGCACCTGTATGAGAGAGAGAGAGAGAGAGAGAGAGAGAGAGAGAGAGAGAGAGAGAGACGTTATGAGTTTGACTCCTGTAAGCTGACAAAGCTCTGCCATTTTCTGTTGAGGACGCATATCAACAATTGAATGTTGGACCTGATTACATCGTAATATGGACGTGATAATAAAGCATAAGGAGATGCAAATCATATCTATATGAAAAAATTCAAATAAATACAGTGTATGAAGTATATACCTGATTGCTGACAACAGGAATCTCATTTTCCAGGATTATCTGTAGTCTCTCTGTGTCGAAGTTTGTCAAGGCAACGGTCTTAATTTTACCTGCAAACCAGTAGCTGAAGTAATGCAATCAAACCTTGAAATGTGGGCCAAGATTTTCATTTTAAATTACTAGGGTCATACACTTACCTTCTTCTTTCAAATCTGTAAGGTGTTTTAGTGCGTCAAGGTAACCGGTATTTGCATAATCCCACCTATCTCAAGTAGAAAGAGAAATTTAGCCTCACAAGCCATTCACAATATTTGAGTTTTAGCTGTATTCAAGTAAGTGTAATTCAATTTAGAAATGCATAACATTGAACATAAACTACGGTGGTAAAGAGTGTAGTTGAAAGCATAGGCAATGCATTAGATGGTAGCAGGTGAGATAAATCTGGGAATGAATTAGTGGAGCAACTAGTCAAACAATGTGCACGATGTGATGGTCAATTCAAATGGAGTTTCCTTGTTAAGCAAATGACAATTTACATAAAATTGAAAGCTAATGCAGTGGTCATTGCACTCCAGGTCTCAGGAAACTATTGAAGTTAAACTGGGTTAATTTGATATAATTAAATTTTTTTTTAAAGTGAAACTTAGTAGATAAGGTTTGCCAACGATTAAATGCAAAAATCGAAGACATGGTTCCAGCAAGATATTTCAATATCTGGTTAGTGCACAACTAACAAATCTGATATTGGAAAAAATGTTCCTTCTTCACCTATGTCAATCATAACTAACGAAAACTCACTGCCATTGCAATGAGGGATATACCTGACAAATGGAAATGGAGCAACATTTCTTTCCATTCAGAAACAAATGAAGTAAGCTGATTTGAGTCAATTTGGGAAAAACACAACTAATTTGGAATAATCAAAACTTGCTCAAGTTTAAAACTTTGGTTCCAATTGGAGCACGACCCTTTTACAGGTTCAAATTTGAATATCAACACATAATGATACTTTAACAACAAATGGAAAATCCAATTGACGAAAGGTTTGCGACAACATCTTGCATTGAGAAAAAGAATTCATACCAATGAAACTGAAGCATGTCCAAGGAAGCCACATCCATTCTCTTCCGTGAAACATTTATACTGTCCCTTACATAACTACTTGTCATCTTAACAGGTGGTGGCACCCATTTTGTAAGACTGCAGCACACAATATAGCAGGGAAAACAAATTGTAAAACTCTCCAATTCTACACTCTCACTCAGATATAACATAGTAAGTGAAACGTTAATCAGTCTCTAATGCATGTAAGCAAAGATGCGAAAATGATTGCTCTATGCAATATCTGAAGACTCCTAACAATAGCCGGCCAGTAATTTACAACCTATTAAGTGGAAGCAACTCACCCTCTGACCTTCTCCAAGAACTCTGGTGGACGCTCCTGACGAACTCGATTGATAAAGATGCCATATAGATCTTCAGCTGGTCCATCTAGAAATTGCAGAAAGCCAAACTATAAACTCCAGGATTATACTCACAATTGTTCCTTTTTTTTATTTAAGGAGGTATTAACTGCCAGGGATAGATTCAGAACGAAAGGACTACAAAAAAAAAAATGATAAACTTGTTTGCCACCATCAAACAGATAGAAAAATGCTCTGTAACTGCGCAATTGAGGTCCAAACTGACAAGAAAAAGTTTCAATAACTCTAAATGAAGGGAGAACCTCACTACCATTTATGTCACCATCATAAAATTATCTCAGCAAAAGTGTAATATATAAGTCCAAATGTGACAGACAGAAATGGGAAGATGACAACTTAAATCAAGATGGATATGCAAGCAGCGCACACACACTATAAGTTATTGATAATTGAGTGCTATACATATATCTGCCATATCAAAGGTGGTGAGTCCAGCATCAGCATATTTAAGCATAGCATCAACTGCATTGACTCTATCAATTTGACCCCAGCCACCGCTCGTCTGCCACATCCCATTCACTACCCGGGATATGTCTAATGAATCCTTGCCATTCTTAACCACAGCCCGTCGGTTGTCTTCAGTTAAAACAGCCTGAACCGGCCTCCAACTGAGTTTTTGAATTCCTTTGGTCCTTGTTTTCTTGATGGAACTAAAGGTGAATTTGCTTAAAGAATTATGGTGCAACAACTCTGCCATTCCAATTTCCAAATGGGAAAGCCTAACTATGTAAACAAAACAAACACAGTTTTTCTTCTTCTACATAAATTTTATACAACCAAAGTATTATCTTATCAGCTTTCATATGTAGTGTAGCTCTCCACCATTGATTTCATTTTTGCACACAAGCATAACCCTCTTTGTTGTAAATACACACATCATCTAAGGGCAATACTGTTAACCACACGTGTATGACTAATGCAGCGCTACTTTAACAACCTGTCAGATATATTTCAAGACCATCCAATCAAAAACACCCACGTAAGCACATAAGACCTGAGCGTAAAATGTAGACAATTTGGGGGCTTGATTGACATTATATGACTTACAGTGGTCCGCCATGTCGAAGGTGGAGAGGCCAGCATCAGCGTAGCGGAGCATGGCCTCGGCGGCGTCGTCCCTGTCGATTCTGCCCCAACCACCGCTCGTCTGCCACATTCCGTTCAGGACTCGGCATATGTCCAGGGAATCGTTCCCGTTCCTCACTGTGACTCGCTGGGTCTCGCCGGTGACCTGAGTTGCCTCGGCGCACCTGACCGAGTTCGCTAGGAGCCTGCGCCGAGTTGAAGTCGTGGCCTTGGTGGATTTGAACGACGTCGGATTGAGTAGGACGCTGTGTAAGTGTAAAGTTGCCATTTTAGTATAACGCTAGGAAGGAAGAAAAACAATGGGGCAGAAGAACTGAAGAGGATAAGGCCTCCGACGCCGTGGATGTACGTGCTGCTGTGTGTGTCTATTTTGTAACGTTGAATTGACGGTTTTACCCTGTAATTTTTGGTCCGTCCATACAGACAATCCTAGGATAATTTTGAAGGCAAAAGAATAGCACACACCATCCACCCCAATCTATGTCAAAACTTTTGTCCCTGTTATTAACTACTTCCGTTATTAGTTTCTAGTTTTTAGTTTTCATTTAATTAAAAAAAAGAATTGAGAACATAAATCTTGTTTGGTAATCAATTTTAATTTTTATTTCAAAACTAAAAATGAAAAACAATTTAAAAGTTCTTTGGTAACTGTTTTCAGTTTTATGGGAAACTTGAAAATGAAATCCTTTTTGAGTCAAATTGTGAAAGTGAAGTCATAAAATGAAAGTGCATGCTACAAAGACTCTGTAGTTTTTTTTGTGAATTATTTTGGAGTTAGGATGATTTTGGATCTAGAGGTCTCGAGGCTCGAACTGGATCTTCAGTCAAATGCAAGAGTTGAGCGGTCAAGTCCAACTCAAGAGGTCCCAAATACCGAGTTTTGGTAACTGAAGTGCAATGCATGTGTTTATGTGGTGATATAAATTGGTGAATAAGAAAGGAGGAAAAAACCCCTAAAAACACTTTAAAGTTGTTTTCATAAATAAGAGTGATTTTGAAACCTAGTTTTAATTATTTTTTAAAACAAAAATGAAATATGTTTTTAGTTAAAAAAACGAAATAGTTATAAAATAGGACTTTCAATTTTTATTAAGTCACATTAACGATTTCAATTTTTAATCAATTGAAAAAATTGAACGTATCATGCAACGCTACAATGCTTTTTCATGCGCAATGTCCTCTATTTACCGTTCAGCTACCATAGCAGGGGCGGCCCTGGGGTGGTGCAAGTGGTGCCACCGCACAGGGCCTCCGATTCTTGAGGGCCCCCCAAAAAAAAAATTCCTTTTTATTGTATATATTAATATTATAGGAATGGTATATATAGTATAGCGTGTAAAACATTTGTAGAATAGCGTGTCTGGTGGAAGTCAGTCCATTTGGCATTTTTATATTATTTTTGCTTTATAACCACAAATTTTACATAATTATTATAAATATAAATAAAAAAACAGAAAGTCTTTTTTTTTTAAAAAGGAAACATAGAAGCTAACAACAAGAAGAGTATATATATTCCCCAAACACTTTTTACTTCAAAACCAAAAAAACTTCATGGTTTTTTCTTTCTCTTAAATTCTGATTTTCTAATAAGTAATCATCATCATTCATCAATCTTTCTTTGGTTTTTTTTCAATCATTTGACAATTTTTGTTATTCTTTCAATTTTCAGGAATTTCAACACCAAAAAGAGAAATTCCAAATTCATAAATTCATAAAGACCACTCAAAATCAAATAGTCAGACTACTCTTTAATTTGTGATTGCCAATTTTTTTTCTTATTAACCAAAGATTTCTTATTTGAGGCAGCAAGGGACCTTAATAGGGGCACAAGGAGCTTATTTTTGTACCAAACATTTAAATTAATCAAATGGACACATTTAAATTTTTATGAATTTGATTTATGATTGTTATTACATATTTATTGATGGTGACTTTTAGTTATAAAAAAATTGTTTATAACATTAAGTCATGGCAATTTTTTTTATAGCATTTTTGTATTAGATTATGCGAGGCCCCAATTTAAGTTTCGCACAGGGCCCTCAAAATCTCAGGGACGGCCCTGTACCATAGCCCCAATTCTCAAACCACTCAACACGATTTGGGGGAAGATTTGACATCTCATTTGGGGGGAATGAAAGAAAGGGAAAGTAGTGGGCGGAATGAAAGAACGAAAGAATCAGACATTTTCTTGATGTTTTTGAGATGTTTCCAAGAGAGAGTAATTATCGATGCAAAAAATAAAATAAGGGCAAGACTCTTCTCTATTTTATAAACAGAAGAGTACACTGCACTGCACTTCCTTCTTGGGTTCTCTCTCTTTCTCTCTCTAAAGAGTAATAAAGACAGAAACTAATCTGAGCCAATTATAGCTGAGACCTGAGATGTCAAAATGGTCGTACGACCAGGTCAATTTGACATCTCATTTAGTGGGGGGGGGGGGGGGAACGAGTACAAAGACAGCAGCAGAGTTTCGTTTATTACTTTTATTCTAAGAAAGCAAACATCCTTATGAAGCTCTCACTCTTGGAGGAGATTTGACTGCAGACAAGCTCTCTCTACTTCACTTCTCTGCCTTCGACCCTGAAAATCCTCCGCTCCATCTGTACCAATGTGTTTGAGAGAAGCAAGTACTTAGAAAAATAAGAAAGAAATTACTTATCTATGTGAATATCGAAAAGAAGAACAATTCATGACAGAACCATTTTGACTTAAATCTAGCAAAGGAATTGTTGAACGTGCATTGCTCATAAACTATACCTCAGTATGGTATATAACCAATTAATCCAGAAACAAAACGAGGCCAGTAGCAAAACTGAATCGAAAAGTCTTTAACCCAGGGAATCAAAGAATCACTAAAAAATTTAACCAGAGATATAAGGGGTGCTGGGAGAAACAGGAAGCCCTTAAGTTATACTACAGATCAGTGGCGGAGGGAGAAAACTGGCCAAAGGGAGGAAAGAGGGAGCAATTGTTTTCAACGGGGGCACTATACTACTAAACCTAAGAACATTTGCACAATTCTGTATAAACTTGATTAGAAATTTGTGCGGACCACCTTGGGTCAGAAGGGGCACGTGTCCCCCCTGGGCCTAAGGTAGCTCCACCCTTGCTACAGAAGACCTTGTATTAGTAACATCATATATTAGGATATACAATATTGCTTAACAAAATTTTAACAGAATATCCTTTCCTTAGCATGGCCATATCATTTCATTCTCTTTGCCAAGTGATATTTCCTAAGGCTCTTTTTCATAAATCTTGAAACTAGATAAAATTCATATCTTAAATGATATAAATAAATTTTTAGACTAATCATGAAAAGTACCAATATTTAAAAGTGAATAATGGAAATCATTCCAGAACTGTGCTGATGGTTCTTTAGGAAATAGGAATATTTTACAGGCTTGTTTTGGAGAGGCAGAACCTGCAACTCACCCTTGATTGACATTTGTTCTCTTACCAGGTGTTCTAGCGAGGAAATTTCTTCTTTTTTGTTTTCTTCTTTGAAATAGAGCTCGTTAAAACTATATCATAGACAAAATAAAGGGAGCTTTTGTGGATTCACCACCTGTAAAACAAAACAACTAATGCACCTATTGCAAACCTTCAGTTTCACAAATCAAAGCTTCACACTCTTCCTCTCAAAAGGACAATCAATACAATCAAAGAAGAAAATCATTTATTCTCAAGAACAAGAGCACGAAGAATATGCAAATTTCTTGCCAAGTAAAGATATAGTCAATGGGGAGATGGCAAAATCATCGTTGTGGAGTACCTGAACAAAGGAGTCCAGCTTGTTTAGGGTATGAGCAAATTCATTCTTTATCCAACCTAAGGCTCGGAGGAAACTGAAACAAAACATTTATTTCAGCATAAAAAAAGGGGTCAATATCTTGCTTATGTATATAGAAAACAGGCTTAGCATAGACAAAAAAACCTATGACAACAATAATTTTTTCTTCATAAGTGATAAAGGAACCTTTCTATTTTCATCATATAGATAAAAGCCAGTAGTTCCTTCAATTTCCAGAATAAAGGTAGACAATAAAAGGAAAGTTAATAAACAAACGAGGACATGTAACTGCCAATATCAGTTGCACCTAACATGAAAATGTCCACAATATGAGATGTGTACCAAAATTTTGAAGATGACAATTGAGTTTTGACTTGAATATTGCACACAGAATAGACAGCTGGAAAGGATTGATCTTAGATAAAATTCAAAAATTATGTGAAATGTGCAATACTTAGATTGACTTGTAGAAAAAATAATCAACATGAGTTAGTATTAAACATGCAAGAGCATCTGTATCATTCAGATGAATAACTAGGAACAAAAAATTCAATATAAAATATCATCCAAGTTGACAAACTTTCCCAGAATTAATCTGAGGGACTCTGCAGGACATTGTGAAGAAGATACTAGTCCAAGCAGCTAATAAACTGGCACCTGACATTTATCTGATGAACAGGAGAGAAGAAAAATTTTAGAGCTCGTGACCCATTTGGATGGAGTGATTCCAAGTCTAGGGATTTAGATAACATTATAAGATAATAAAAAAATTATTTCAACTATTACAGTCCATGTATGCCAAAATTTGAATAAGAAAAGAAAGCAAAGAAATAAATTTCAAATGATCCCTAGCATATAGTTATTTCAAATCCATTTGCACTACATCTAGTTATTTCAAACACATTCCATTCTAATGTTTTCTAGTTTTTGTTGCAAAGTGAGTCTTGTTGTCAAATCCAAATCCTTTCTTTCAATTTACTCCACCCAAATGGAGCCTTTAAATCATGTGAACATCAGACCTCAGGGTTCAATTGAATGTTTCATATCAGATTGCAGATATGAAGCACTGTGTATATCTTGAAGGGGACTGATATACAGAGAGCTTCAGTTGAGGGTGTCCCTCAAATAAGCTTATTTGAGGGATCCCTCAACTAAAGCTCTCTGTATATATATATATAAGTTGTACAACATGCAATAATAGTAGTATGTAGATTTCACATTACAAATAGATGAAAGAGAGAATGCTAACTTTCGCTTGTGCATCAGTTCGCAAGCCTGAATGAGATCAGCACATGCACTTCCCACAAGTTCCGCACCAATGCTGCAAGAAGAGATTAAAAAGAAAAGATTCAATTTATTGGATTGGAAAGATTAACCTTCAAACTTCCAGAACTGAAAATACAAAATTCAAACTGCAGTCTGTGCTGCCATTCATTCACCACAAAAAGATATCATTTTATTACAATACTAATTACCAGAATATCAGTTGAACAGCTGATACTTTAAATAATACGTTCATAATAACTAAAGAAATGACATCCAAACTAAGTATTCATAAATTTCGTGCAACGACCATAATTACTTAAAAAAGAAAAAACAACATTAAGAATTGCAGTATTCATCTCTCAAAAGGTCAACTATACATTATGAAATCAAAACGATCTAGAGTACATATTTGCATATACCCTAGATCTTGACCTGAATATGCGCTTGGAACTCAGAGCATTTATGGAGCATGAAAACTTCTAGATGATAACCATGTTTGTATCTGGCATGTGTTGGGCACAACACTTGGATGACGCACGTCAAACATGTGTCCGCATAAAATAATATACTACTTCTTCCCAGATTAGATGACTTTCTAAGTGAAAAAAATTTATTTACAAATAAGTCCATGTCCTAAATTTTTTAGATTTGTTGTCATTGTGCCGTTATCTTGTCATAACCCATCCTATGTCTGTACCCATACTACGTAGGTGCATGCATGTCTATCAGTGTGCGTGTTAGAGAGGGAGAGAGGGTTATTGCCCATTAAGTGTATTCATGATTATTGGTATCACTAAAATTTCTGGTGTCGGAACATGGAGATTTCCAACATAAATTGGACAGCACATCGTCTCCATGACACCGATGCATATGTAGTGTGCATAGTTAAAGGGGTTTCCAAATTTTTGGGTATGAGGGGCACTTCAAAGTTATCAAGGAGTTGAAATTATTACCAGTTCTTCAGGTGATGTGCAGATCCTGTGCAATATATACTTAATTTTATGACATGTTCATTAAAGAGATAAATAAAAGCATATAAAAGTAACAATGCAAAACATTCTGCCTGGTGGTGACAATCATGTCTGAAGAACAGACATTTAAGAGAAATATCCCCTTGTTTCCAAAAAAAAAAGAAGAGAAATATCCCTTGGTCATAATCATGTCATGTTGCATCCAGAACAGCAACGAAAACACTAAATACTCAACTTCCACATTAGGTAATTCACTATGCAGATGTGATAGAAAATCTAGATGGAACCATGTACCCTAGCAATTTTAGGATTTATATGGTAATGATGCTATTGAAATGATAAAAAGGAAGCTAAAAAAATGAAATCACAAAAAGATATTTATTAGTTCATAAATTTGTTTTTGTACAATTTCATTTTGCAGAGAACATAGTTATGTGCAGATGCTTGTAAGTCATATGTGTGTGTGTAAAAGATCAGACATGCAGGAGAGCAAACTCATCAGAATGTGTGTCTGTGTGTGTCTAAGATCAAACATGCAAACTCATTCAAATGTTTATCAAGTAGTTAAGACAATTTCAATGGTAATCCAAAATGACCAAATGACATTACAATGAGCTTTTCTCCTCTATACTGTAAGCCAGTGTAGCCAATTTGGAAAAATCAACATCAGGTAAATCACTGCAAATACAGTACCAAGAATGAGAGATGATTCACTGAAGCCATGAAACTAGCTACCATAACTGAAACTTCATTTAATTCTGTTGGGGATACAGGGGTACCTGAGGCTTGTCAATTCTGATAAAAGTCTTTCAACATCAAGCAAATATATATTGATCAGCCGCACAGCACAATCAGGATCTTCATCACTCTTCAAGGTCTGAATCCGTGAAAACTGATTATTCACGATACCCTGCAGGAAATGAGATTAACCCACAGTAGAAAACCAAATAAGCACTCTCCAAACATTACCGAACCTAGTAAATCGGCTGCATCTCATACAAATACAAATTAACTTGAATTAAGCACACTGTGACATTCAATGTATCTATTGAAACCCCACAACCAGAATATCTATGGAACATTTATATGTGGAAAGACTTCCCAAAATAACTTGCACACGCTCAGAAGATAGACAACAACAATGGCATTCCTTTATCAGCCAGAAACACCAAAATTCATTTACAACACAATAAATACCACAATGCAGGAAGCAAAGTAGAACTAAAAGGACTCTTGGCAAGCAAGATATCATGGAACAAAATGAGAAAACACTTGATCAGGAATCTGTCACCTCATTAAAGAGTGACTGCACATATCCTCTGAGAAGTCCTTTCAGAATTGGTAAAGCCATTTCAGATATGAAACAGTAAAAAAACCTAATTGACTGAAACAAGAGAGAGAGAGAGAGAGAGAGAGAGAGAGAGAGAGAGTTTTTAACCGATGGAGAGATGGGTCATGCTTCAGTGGGTGGTTTATAGGAATGAGTCCCAGATAAAAACAAAGTGCACCAGACTGGAGTGAGTTTAGCATGGTGTCTTATGGATTTCACACATATAATGAATGAATTAACATTTATGCCACTGTCACAGGCAAATGCCAAAACAAATACTTTTCTTGTTTGTTTCTGAATTATCTATAGCAATATCACATTTCATATTTAATCAGTTGTGTGATTAAGAAAAGGTTATATATGATATTTTATATAGTCAATAAAGATGCAACACTTTAAAAATAAAATCTAATCAAAACTAAAACATTAAATTTTCTAAAGCAACAGCCAGTATCATCAAGTTTAGTTTTTCATTATCAGAAAACTCTAAAAATGCTCTATGGTAGATATCAATTCCCTTTTCCAGATAGAAACAATGTAATCAATTAACAAAATGGAATCATCAGTGCCCTAACTAGGAAAATCCAAAACGAAAAAAGAAACTCAGGTGCCTAACCCAGATCTGTTCCATTGCATGCAGTATGCAATTACTGCAATAGGCTTATTAAAAGTTTCTTATGGACAACTTCAGGGAAATATATAAATAAATAAAAAGTATTGAAAAGAAATTCCTGTTGTTAATCAATAATTCTTTTCAAATATGGTAATTGCTAATCTTTGGTAACTGATAATAATACTTATATGGTCTCAAGTAGACCCCTATCAGTATGTTTTGAATGGTAGCAGCTGTGTTCCTTCAATCTCCATGCCACATGGCAGAACAGTGAGAATCACACGACAAATTTTCTTATTTGGAAATATAATAGGAGATGTTGAGCTGGATATGCTATCTTTGTAGTATTCTATATATGCTGCAGCATTAATTATATTCACCAATGCCTCATTAACCAATACTTGGTATAATGTCAAGTTTAATTATAGGTGTTGAACAAGAATGGACTGCACACTTCTTAAGTTCAGCAACTCATGCTCATTTCTAACAACGCATCAGCTTGGAATAGATTTCTAACTAGCATTTGATTGTGGGTTGAAAAGATAAGATCCAAGTTGCACGTCAATATGGGAGATGGAAGGAACTAAGACAATGCTGAGTCTGGCTTTATAAGTACATCATTTTTGCCCTTATTCTACAAAATCTAATTGCTTTATAAGTACGGTGTTGACATCATAATCACAGCCACTAAACTCAATTTCTTCATGCAGACACTGTCCCTTTGCTCCATGTTCTATTCAGGATCCAAATCCAGATAATTCTGTCACAAACGGTATAAACTATATATGTTCTTCAGAATGCAAAACATTGTGAAAAGTAACAATATTCTGGAATCTGTTGCAATCACAAGGAACATGAACCTTAAGCAGACAAATTCAGATAGAAATAAATAATGACAACCATTTCCTTGCACACATGAATGTTATATTATTATATCATTCTCATTACTAGAGAAGAAACGGAAATGTCTCAACCCATTAAGGAATCAGATTCCTCTCACCATCCCTCATAAATTTCAATTCCAAGATATTCCTGCATTATCTTTCTTGTTAACTTACCAGTACGTTACTTTTCAGTCATTCTAGGTTAGCAATAACTTGCTTCTTCAGAGTTGCTATCAATTAGGAAAGTTTCATAATTTAATAATCTACTTATATGCACCATCCCCAGCTCATCACCATAATGAATATATGCTATCATGCCTTTGCAAATAAATGCATTGAGCTATATGAAGTGCCTGCACCAAGTCATACGATTTAAATAGTCAGATCAAAATTATGATCTGACGACCTAAAATCACATTGCACGTAAAACACTAAATAGTGATGTAATAAAAGAGAATGTAGGCAAAAGCCTCTAGCTTGATTCAACTAGTGATTGAAATGAGAAATACAACAAGCTTCAAACTACTGAAGTTGAATGTTCTGTTACCCTAAACCAAAACGTTTGTCTACTGTCATAAATAGTATCAAAGGAATCCAATGAAGGAAAATAGCTATGTCAGAAACAAAACAAACTTTAAAGGTTTCCAAAAGAAAAACATCAATCATAATGCACCCAACCCTTTAGGCTATAGCTTCAAACTAATGGATGTTCCATCATAAATTTTGTCAAACTCATTCTTGTCTCAGTTTAATAAAGTAGCTACCAGAAACTATTTCCATATTTGAATAGGAATTTAGGAATATATAAGGAAGTGTTTTAAAAGATTACTTAAATTCTATAACCAGTATTTCTCTGCAACTTAAACATCTTTTTCAATGGTGAGATTTCACTAATTCATAAACAAGATTACGGTGTTCTAGTAAAAAGTTTTAAGTTTTTTCATATCCTTTTCTCTTACAACTCTTTTGTTGTTCTCATGATTTATCTTCTATATTTCTTTACTGAGTTTTTAGCTTAATGCCCATCCATAAATCTTACAAACTGCAGTTCTAGCGACCAATGTTTAGTGTAGGAAAACCCCAGCATTCAACTATAAGGGTTGGTCTTGCATCAATCCAAGGGATAATATAAAACAAACTTCATGGAAGTGAAACTATGCAATCATCTTGAGACAGAATACATATGGAATACATGCATGAAGCCATAAAATAGAAAACATGAAATTACCTAACACTGCGTTTACTGCACTATAAACCAATCAATTACGCAGTCATGGTCATTGAATCAGATAAGTTTTAGCTGTGAAATTCTTCTTTCAACCTATTACAAGTGCTAGCATCCACATGTTTGATGATATCTATGAAATAATATCCAATGAACTACCAAATACTTTCACAAAACTTGAATTGAATGCAAGACGGAAATTAATTTTCATAAACTTTCTGCCCAATTTTTTTTTTTTTTTTTACCAAAGGCTATAACCCTGGAAAAATGAGCTACATGTTACAGGAAAAAAGGGCTTCAGGCATGCTCTTAAATATCAAATCTAAGACTAATATCATGTAGTACCTACGTGAGAGTCAATTTTCTTCTCAGTTGGGAAATTTCATTCTTAGCCCATAGAGGGCCCTACAAGCAACTGAAAGATCAAACATAAAAGCAGAACAAATATAGAATTAAATGTGTACATAAAGTGGGCACAAATAAAGGATTAAAAAAAAAAAAAAAAAAAAACAAGCGCACACAAACACCTAAGGAAATTTTGGCATACATAAAAGTAAGAAAATGGAACAAAAATAGCATATTTGTTTTAGTATTTGTTTTCTTTTAACTACCATTAGTCTATAGCTTGGCTCCAAACACTAGCATATGACTAGTATATTTTAGTCAGGATACATTGTCACTCATCTAAAAAGGAACTATATTGTTACCAGAATTATCAAGTTAAAATGAATAGTACAAAGAAATGAAAATCAATACAAGTGTCAAGATCAAAAGAGAAATATGAAGAAAAAAAAAAATTATTTGTTGGGGGATGGATGAGTACAAGTTTCAATGACACGGCCAATTTAGATCAAAAGTCTATTGGATTGTGAGGGTTCAGCTAAATCTTGCAAATTAACCACATAATTCTAATATACACTGTCGTTTTGTTGAATGATATAATTTCTTTACCTAAAACAAAAACCCCAAATCTGCAATCTAATTGAGATCCGTAATTCGGCATAATGACTCTTTCAGTTAACAGTCATAGAAAACAACAAAATAACCATTTATAAATTGTATGCATGTTATTTGAATATCTTTAAGAGGAAACACAATTTAAAATTTAGAAATGAGGGACGATTATAAGAGCAGACTCCATAAATACTTATCTCTGATACTCATCAAATACAGACAATATAGTCATGACATGGGGTTCCTCATATGACCATCAAAAGAAAAATTAATTGAATTCATCAACAGATGAAGGTCATAATTACCTGCTTGTTCTTGTTTACATTTTACCAGCAGAAAACGGCCAGCCTCTGAGAATCAGCATCCTTCTCATTGCTGCAAAAGGCAATAAAGGAAAGTCACGAACCCTTATCCAAGTATGAGAAGATGTTATTATGAACACAAATCTCATTTTGGGTAGCCAGAGTTACAAGTAAAATGTCAATTAAGAGAATAGATTTGAGCATTTACATATTATCAAGTGACTGCTCTCACAGCATAGTCTGGTCCAATTGCTTCCTTCACAACATGTAGTTGATAGAATTCGTTATTCACAATTCCCCAACTATAGTACACCAATAGTTCGCCGCCATATACGAAGCATCCTCTTTCCTAACCCATACTTCTAAACTTGCAAATACAGTAATATACACACCTATGTACAATGTTTTTGTGAATGAATTATTCATGTATGCCTATATATGTTCTAAAATCCAACGAAATCTCCAACTAAATTTACATTTCGATGAAAATTAGTTATGATATTGCGTTCAAATTGTGTCAAAAAGACGTGAAATGTTGTTTCCTAAAATTTCTAAAAACAAACAAAATTAGGAAGCATGTTCTGATGCCTATTGTTCCATTACAAGAAGATTTTTTATACAAAGTAGGAGAAAAATATTTCAAACAACAACAAATCATGAGGCCGAGAGATTGTGATACCTGGTCATACATGGAGTGATTTAAGCCACGAAGTAAACCTCTTTCTGATAAGCGAACGCCATTTTCAGTTTCAGAGAGAGCTCTGTGCGTTCTGGTAGTGCTGCTTCTATGTCACTGGCCTCTACGGGCATCTGGGAAAGGGCAGCGGTTTGGATTATTTTGCCCCTGAAGTGTGAGAAAATGACAATGATGCCATTTCACAACGTTACCATCATTTTTGTTTTTATTTTTAGGCTTTTTATCACAAATGGTCCTTGACGTTTACGAAATTATCACGAATGGTCCTTGAGGTTTTTTTGTGACACTAATAGTCCTTAACGTTTGGACTTTTTATCACAAATGGTCCTTGCCGTCAAAAATTCTGTTAAGTGTATGATGTGGAAGATAAGTGGAGCCCACATGTACAATCACATCGTGACATGTGGATTAAATAAATAAATAATTGTTTTTTTTTTATGAAAATCCAGTAAAAAAACCATTTAGAGAGTAGAGAGAGAGAGAGCACTGGCCTCTACGGGCATCTGGGAAAGGGAAGCGGTTTGGATTATTTTGCCCCTGAAGTGTGAGGAAATGACAATGATGCCATTTCACCACGTTACTATCATTTTTGTTTTTATTTTTATTTTTTTAGTGATGGGAGGGGGTTTTACTAGTAAATATGGGTAAATTACTCACATGGTCCTCAAATTTATACCCGATTTACATTTTGGTCCCTCAATTAAATTATTCATTCAAATGGTCCGTCAACTTTATATTAATCGCTCCATTGATCCTACTGTTAAATTATGTTAATGTTGCCATCAAAAAACTACAAATGCAGAAAATACAATACAACGCTTTAAATAGAAAACAATTGAAACCATAAAGACGTACCCTAACAATTTTAAATAGATCTAACATAAACCAAACTGACTGTAACTTCTCTCACACAATCCAAATAGGACTCATGTTTAATGCGAGGTCTGACTTTCTTCCGATATTTCGAGACAGGTTTCTGCAGAAGAATTTTGTGTTTCATCTATCCCCTTGATTAATTTAGTTGAAGTTGATGCCCTTGAGGTCACGTCTGTGGAAGTAGAAGAATCAGCTTTGGTACATTCGCCACCAGCCATGGCTACATTAAGCTGATGATCATCCACAGTAGGTGGATTAATCTGCTCAAAGGTTTTCTCACCAACAAGAATACTCACAACGTCTGCCATTCTTGGCCTTAGAGTAGGAGATATATTCGTGCACATTACGGCCAAGGTTAAGATGGTGATGGCTTGTTTTGCATCATAAATGCCAGACAACTTTTTATCCACCAAGTCCACGAGGCTTCCATTTTTATTTGCAACATAAGCCTGCAGTAAAATGATGAGGGTTTAGAATTCAAAGTGTGCATGTTCACTTTAAAGTAGGAGAAATTACAAAACAACGTACATCCTCTCAGTTTTGCTTACCATGTCCAAGAGATACTCAGTCTCATGGTTAAATTTGTATCCTGCATTTTTCTTCCCACTAACAATTTCGAGTATAACCACCCCAAAAACTGTAAACATCAACTTTGCTTGTTACAATTCCTTGAATTGCATACTCAGGTGCCATATGTCCGCTGTGTCAACAAAAATAAAGCACAAATTCAAATTATAAACCGTCATAGTATATGACACAAATTCTGTAGTACCGTGGGAGAACTATTTGTTCTCACCAATTTATGTAAATTAATACTGAAAACAAAACAACACTTACACACAAATATTTATAAAATGGTGTTTCTAAATAAATATCCAAGTCACAATTGCATTCCAGATAGAAACTTCATATTTCCCTTTCTGGAGTAAATTATAAAAAGTTAAGTTCAAATTACAGAATATCCCGTACAACTTATAATATGGCAATTCATCTTTCTTTCTGTTATTATTCTGGGTGCATTTTAAGAAAACAAAAAAATGAGATGATAACAATTCATAACCTCTGATACAACAAGATATGAAATTCTGGGTGCATTTGGATTAAAGTGTATCTGTGCATGTTCTATGGTTAAACAGATTTGCCCACCTGTTGTTCAACTACGGAAGCTAATAATGGCATATTAGTTCACATGGAAACTAATTCGGAAACAAATCCTTCCATGTCAATTTTCTATCCTCAAGTAATTGGTGAGCTCACTCCCTTCCAAGGTCAACAATTTTGGTTTTGATTCACTTATATCTTTAACAATATATAAAACATCATAGGATGTAATATTTCTCACCATATAAGTTGAATTTCATGGCATTATTTTATACAGTGTTTCAGAAAGCGAAAGGTATTTGTTTTTTGTACACTTACTTTGGTGCTTCCACTTTGATGATCATAAGTTGTTCTTCCTCGGTATACAGGCTTGCCATTCCAAAGTCTGAGATCTTAGCATTAAGAGCTCCATCAAGAAGGATATTTTCAGCTTTGATATCCCTATGAACCATCTTGAGTCTAGGGTGCTCATGAAGATGCTCTAAACCCCTCGCTATTCCCAGGCAAATGTTAAATCTAGTTTCCCAATTAAACTTCAATCTGGACTTCGAGCCTGCAAGTCACATGAATGACCACTTTAGCATTCTATGTATATATTCCTCCAGTTTAGTCTAAACCAAACGACTTTGTTTTTGTCATAAACACTTCAGCACAGAAAACACAAGTCACTACAACAGAAAAACCCTTTCATGACACCTGATTTGAGTCATAAAAGGCATTTAAGGACGCGGGGCAAGCATCATAACATGTGTCGTCGAATGGAGGGTCATGGAAAGTTTTCTCAAAAGACGACGTCTGGTATACGTCACCTAATGATATTTCGATGGTATTTCAATGATGAGTGAGTACCAGATCTTATTTCTCAATATAAAAGCAATACACGGTATGAAGAGGAAAATGTTGGCTAAGCTAAAATGAATTAAGAATCTCTATTTTGTACACAAAAGGAGGAAGTATACTGCTCATAGAATATAGAATAAAGCAATTTGAAGAATTAGAAAAGGGAGGAGAAAAGATGAATTACCAAAAAAAGCGTCTGCAATGGACAGGTTTGGCATATATTCATAGATGTTTGCCTGGGCTCAAGCCCGAAGGCGCTGACGTCAGCGCTGATGTCACGTTGATGTCAGCGAGCAAAAAAATTCAAAAAAAATTCAAAAAAATCCAAAAAAATTCAATTTTTTTTTAAAATAAAAAAACCAAAATATTATGGATGTTTTCCCTATAAATACATAACAATTTTATTCACTTTCTAAATTGTTTATATTTTGTTGCATAATCTTTTTTTTTTCTTGCCCTTGCCCTAGCCTTTTGGGGTGGAACCAAAAAAGGCAAGGCTATCTTTTCCAGCTGCTTCACATGCCTTGTTTCCTCCCTTTAACAACATACACTCCTTGACTCCACTAAGGAGGGATTTCCAACAGGAGGGTCATGGAAAGTTTTCTCAAAAGACGACATCTGGTATGCGTCACCTAATGGTATTTCGATGGTATTTCAGTGACGAGTACCGGATCTTATTTCTCAATATAAAAGCACTACACGGTATGAAGAGGAAAATGTTGGCTAAGCTAAAATGAATGTAAGTATCTCTATTTTGTACACAAAAGGAGGAAGTATACTGCTCCTAGAATATAGAATAAAACAATTTGATGTTGTGCTTGAAGAATTAGAAAAGGGAGGAGAAAAGATGAATTACCAAAAAAAGCGTCTGCAATGGACAGGTTTGGCATATATTCATAGATGAGCAAATGTAACCCTTCTCCAAAATAAGCATCCAACAATTGAACAAGGTTCTCATGCCTCAATGACTTTAAGGTATAGAATTCATTTAATAATTCCTCAATATTTTCTTTTGAGTGAGTAGAAAGTCTTTTAACAGCTACAGTAGTTTGACCACCTTCCAGTTCAGCCTGCATCAACACAATAGACTAATGTTATATATCTGAACAAATTTGCAATATTCAAAAGATACCCCCACCCTAATATCAAATTTCTACCACAAATTAAGTTCATAATATAAAAGTATACCTTATAAACCCTTCCAAAGTGCCCTCTACCGATCTCCATTTTGCTGCTAAACTTTCGAGTTGCACCTATTAATTCTTGAAGGGTAACATGTTTATCTTGGCCTATCTGTATTTCTGTTCGGGAAAATCAAAGATGACATGTTAACTAGGAAATAAGAATTCTTGAAAAAGGGCATCGTGCAGTATAGCTGTAGCTTCACTCACCTCTCAACTCTGTTTTCCCCAGCCAGCCCATTTTCCACATGAAAGCTAATAGAAGCAATAGAACAGCTACACTTGAAGGTAGAGTAATAATCAATGCTTTCTTCAATTTTCGCCACAATGCAGAGTGTTGGGGAACTTCGAAGTGATATTTCATCGGAGGGGGGGATAACAGCAAGAGAAAAGTCAAACTTCTTTAAAAGATTTTCAAATTAATTAAGTATATATGCAGTCTAACAAGATTAAACTAATTAACTGAAATGAAAACTGCATGCCTGCATGATGACCATGTAAGCCAAGGGGTTCAAGTGTAGCTTGGAACCAACTAGAAGAAACTAAAGTCATAGCCTTTCAAATCACCTGGAGTTATGGAAATAGCAGAAATGAGAGGTCCATTCAAAGTAGGAGGGTCGTCTGCACATCCCTTTCCAGCCCAGTAGAAGGAAATCTCCAATACACTATCATTAACATCAGCTACGAAATGTCTGGTTTTAGGTTCACCTGGACCCTTTGCCTCTTCTGCGATGTCGAAATTCGTTAGCATTCTCTCATCCTACAACAAACGCTTCTTTTAACACTGGCAGACAGTAAATACGTGCTCTAATATATGGGTCACACATCTATTCTAATGATGGTACACAAGATTTCAGTTGATGGTACAAATAGCAATACTCAATTTACCTGGATATAAACATCAAATGCCCGTCTTTTTAGTATACTATATGATTCCTTCTCCCTGAATACTATTTCAGCAAAGTGAAGGGCCACATTATATTTGCCTTTGTGTAAGTAAGCATAATAACTTAGGAAGACAGGGGCAATCCGAGCAACTGAATATAATTCTGCCTCAGGAACATGAATTCCAAATGACTGGTTCTGTATGAAATTACTAGAATTGGACTCCGTTGAGAAGAAGTCTCCAGAAAGGCTATAACCCCAGGTTTTGGATGGACTAATATAATAGAATGAAGTTGAGTTATCTGCTTCATAATACTTGTCACCAAAATTTACTCCCTTACCACCACAATTTATAAACAAGAAACGAGCTGCAACAGTTTTTTGCGTATGCATGCGTTTCTTTGGATCCCTGAATAAAGCACCGAATTTGTAAGAAATGGTCCTTGGCTTTTCTTATACTAGAACAGATAAAAATATTAACATACACAAATAGTTGATCTGGATCAGTTGACCTGCTGCAGCAGGAAAACAAGTTCCTGAAATGTATGGAAAACGATCTCATCATAATTCCACATGCAACTAGATTGGTAACAATAGAAAAAAAAAATTAATGCCAATTCTTACAGATGATCTCGCTTATCGTCTGGCACTACGAAGCTAACTTCGGAAAAGTTATTGTACGACAGATCCCTGAAAAGACATATGGTCAAATTTCATAGCTAATGGAAAAGTTATTGTACGACAGATCCCTGAAAAGACATAGGAACATAATAAGCTCCTAGAAAATGATGGTGGCTTAGATAAGGATTTTTCTTTTCCATACAATTAAGCATTCCAGTATCAAATCTAAGTAGCTGTCTGATGAAAGAAGTGTTTTAGTATCTAAATTACTGCATGAAACTTTTTGTAGAATGATCATTTCACAACAACTATTCATATAAATATTTCATTGCATGGATATGATTGAAGTTAAGAAGACACTCAAATAACAGCTCAAAATTAATACAGAATTCAAATAGCGCCTTTTTGGTCTAAATCAAGTGCACAATGGCTTTAAGAAACCAGCATTACTACTGACAACTGTCACTGAAAAAGATAACTACGATGCTACCAACAATTCCTCATTATAGAGAGTACTTCCTAAATAGTTTCCTTTTATTTGCTAGGCTGTTGCATGGTTCTTTCATATATATATGTATGCGCACACAAGGTTTACTACCGCATGTAAACAACCAGACTGATACATACTCCGTCCAACTGAAGGTCAATCCAGTATATTTGAATTTGCCATCAATTGCAGGTGAAAAAAGCAACGATCCTAATTCTAAGAAATCTCAAAAGTTAAAGTTCCACGTAGTGAACTTGAGTCATAAACATCTTTAAACTGGTCTTACTTTAATCCCAAAGGTGTTAAAGGAAATTATGAGATACTAAGCTTTAGGACAATCATTGTTTAAGAAATAAAGATCAATTATCAAGATACCAAGCTATTTGTATAATAACTGCACCAGCAACCAAAGGAAATTATGAGATACTAAGCTTCACAGCCAATGCATGAAGATAAAAATAGATGTACATAGTTTAAGATTCTGAATATAGAAGCTTACAATCTAGTCTTGACTTCACCAACCCAATCAGGGATTGTGTCATTAAGTTTATTTTTTGCCAGGGACCTGAGGAGAGAGAAAGTTAATAATAGAATAATAACATTAACAAGAGTTCGGTTGTCTTTTGTGTAGCAAAAACACACGAATTTCATTCACTTACAAGTGAGTTAAATTTAAACCCCTCATGGATTGTGGGATTCGTCCGGTTAAATTGTTAAAGCTCAAATCCCTGTTAAGAATACATATAGGCATTAACAACTTGGGAACTTAGTTAACTAGTCTGTGAGATGAATTGTATCAAAGTACATTCAAAAGCAGGAATTGAAAAAAATCAAAAAAACCAGAAACATAAACCAGTAATCTAGGGACTCGTGAAGGTGTTGTGTGTGTGTGTGTGTGTGTGAGAGAGAGAGAGAGAGAGAGAGAGAGAGAGAGAGAGACTCACAAGTATTTTAAATTTGACATTTTACCAATGTATTCAGGGATTTCACCGGTGATGGAACAGTTCCTTAATATCCTACAGAAACCATGAGAAGAGGTGAGTGGATGGATAAATCATGAGCATGAGATGTTTACGTCTAGTGAAGCTGACTGCATAAGAAATTATGCAACTTAAAGAAATGTTGGGGGGTGGATAAATCATGAGCATGAGATGTTTACGTCTAGTGAAGCTGACTGCATAAGAAATTATGCAACTTAAAGAAATGTTGGGGTTTGTCCCAGCACAAAGACTCTGGCCAGTGAACATGAATTAATTCAACTCTTTTCTCTGTACATGTTTTTGTATTAAACCTCTTAAAAAATGAATAGATGTGTGCGACATGCAATAAAAACCATTTACAGAGTGTATATATTGCTCAGGTTTGCAAATCGTGGGAATTGGAAACCAGAGTTTGCTACGTTACTGATCGTTCTGCAAAATGGACACAAAAAATTCATCACGAAAACAGAGCTGCTGATTTTTCTTTTTCCTTTTTCCTTTTTTCTGAAAAAGTGGGTTAATGAAACAGAAGGGGACGGTGTACTTACAAATATTCAAGACTGGAGTAATTAAAAAGTTCTGCAGGTAGACTCCCTTCAAAATTGTTTCCCAAAATTGACCTGTGAGCAGTGAAAAGTAATGTCAACTTTGACAATTCATTTTGTTTTAACTTTATCACTAAATTTGTAAGGACTTTTTATTCTTTAACAAGTGTCAATGTCTTAATTTGTAAGGACTTTTTATGATACGACTATCTAAAGAAAAACTTACAGATAACGAATTTCAGTCCATTTTTTGAAGAAGTCAGCTAGAAAGCGACCAGACATATAGTTGCCAGATATTGAACTGCATTGGCCAATTAGGCTCTCTCAAATATTAATAAATTCACCATACTGTAGATTGCAGGCATCAAGAACATTAAATTAAGAAGAATCCTGCTGCAGTCACCAAATTCCTTTACCAAATTTTTTTCGTCAAATGACGTGGCCGTGTTTCATTTATTCAAATCTGGATCCACTATTTACCCATTTATTTCCAACAAAATACTAAAGATGTGCATCGACATATCATTTGGTAAACAAATTTGGTGACTCTGACATTATTAAATGAGAAACACTTACAATAAGCTCATCCGAGTAAGATTGGCATAATCCGGGAATTCCCCAGTGAGATCATTGGATGCCGCCCAGCTTCCACAACATGAGAACAAAACAACGTAATCCCAGTAGAGATTTAAGTACCAAAATTTTCTCCTCCTTTTCTCATGATATATATATGTAACTTTGTTTGAAAGAAGCTTACAAGTATTGGAGATTGCTCAAATTACTAAATGAGGGTGGAAGACGACCAGAGATTCGATTCTGATCCAAAATTCTCAAAGCAGAAAAAAAAAGGAAGACGAATTCAGATATTTGTTTTCAGTAGAAAGCTTTAGCCTTTAGAATATATGTACATAATTTGTCTCTCTGCATGTGTGTGTGTGATGGAGGGAGAGAGAGAGAGAGTGTGTGTTCATAAAGTGCAACAAGGGTGAGCAAAGAACTTACAATATTTGAAGGGCTGTGATGTTTCCTAATTGGTAGGGAATTGGACCTGACAAGTCATTATAATACAGAGACCTGCAAAACTCACAGATTATAAAGAAGAATTTGAAATGTCAACGAAAATTCGAAGAATTAAGTGCAATGGTGAAAACAAAAAGTTGCAGAAAGTTTACTTACAATAGTTGCAGAGAAGTCAGTGCACCCAAAGATGATGGTATCTGTCCGCTGAGGAAGTTGTGATGCAGAGAGCTTTTTGGCCAGAAAACAATGGTTACCTTGTTAAAGCTCGGAGAGAGGGGTAGAAACAGATTAAACTTAAAGTCGACGAGTTAAGCCGAGTTGTAAGAAATACTGAAATTAGATATAGATATACACAAATTACAATATAGAATTCAAAATTAGATAGAAAGTCAGCCCATGTAAGAAAAAAGAAGAAGGAAAAGAACTTTAAGGGAAAGCTTTGAGGAGGCTGGGGTACATATTGGGCTAAGGTGGTGAGCAAAAATGAACTCATATATTTCAAGAGTCGTGAGAGGAGGAAAAAAGAAAAAGAAAAAAGGGAGCTGTGAAGGCGTTGGGAAAGAATTTACCCCCACACTCAATACCATAATTAGAATGTCCCTCACCCTATGGTCTCCCTCCCTTGTAACCAAAGCAAAAAAGGAAAAAAAACTAATATTGGATATATACTTACAGATAAGTAATCTTTGGTTATCTTTTTTATCTCCGATTTTTTATCTGATAGATTTTCCATGTCTGCTTTTTGGTTTAGAAATCTTTTTGATCTGATGGAAACAGACCTCATCTTTGGTTTTCAGATTCTCGCTCCGGCCTTTCAATCTTACAAGGTTGTTTTGCTCTTCCAATCAAGGTAATAATCTCAATCTATCCTTGCTCTTTATTTTTATTTTTTTATATAGCAATTTATGATTTCAGATTATGGGTTCCTTCTGTATATTTTTCATCACTCTGTATTTGAGAAGAGGAATTGGGTTCTACAGAGAACATTATAGCCGTATTTGATTTTCATTTTCATTTGGGTCTATTGGTCGATTTTGAGTTATAGAAAAAAAATATATATATATATAAAAAATAGAGAACATAAAAGATTTTATAGAAATAATAAGATAAGAAAGAGAGACAAAAACATAGTCATCCTACAAGGTAATAATAGTCAAATTATATGTAAAATTGAAATGCTCTGTACAAAATTCATATAAGGTCAGTTAGGCTTCGACTTCAAATTTTCGTCCTCAATATTGTATTGTGCAGGCCAAAGAATATTGTGGGTGGTAAAGAAAACTATTAGAAAAGTGTTGGTGGGACCACATGCTCCTAGTATTAAATGTATTATTAATTATAAAGATGAATTGGCACCTCAAAATGGTGCCTTTTTTATATATAACAATTACTCACTTTGGCCCGAAAAGGAGCTGTAAAGTATCCCCACACTCAATTGATGTGAGTTATAATTGTTGTTGGTCTCCCTTGTAACCAAAGCAAAAAAGAAAGAAACCAATATTGGATATATACTTACAGATAAGTAAGATTGCGCAAGTGTCCAATGCGCTCTGATATGCCTTCTGCCAGTTGATTTCTTGAAAGGTCTCTGAATATATGAAAACTTAATTAATATGCATTCATATAAATTCAATAAATATGTATATGTTTTGAGGTAAGGTCTGGCCCTCAAGTGAATCCTTAAGTCCTTATCTATATTTATGTATATACACTTACAATGATACGAGGGATGACAAATTCCACAAGGTATCAGGTATGGAACCGGTAAGCTTATTGCTGGATAAATCACTGTTTAAGTGAGGCATCATATAATCAATCATTTAGCATATAAGTATACAGAATCAACTAATAAATAAGAAATTAATATTGTATATATTTCGTGACAATTAATATAGAAGGGATTGGTTGAAAGACTTTTTTTAAGAAACCATACTCTTGAAGAAATCAGTCTTGAATGTGACCTATATATAAATGATAGAGTGTTTCAATGAGCCAGATGCATATATTCGAATTTCAAATGCAGTTTTTCAAAATTAATTTGGAAAAACTCATAGATGAAAATGAAATGGTTCTCTCATGAGGAAGAAACAACAACTTTCCAAAACTTCCACACCTGAGAGACGGCTGCCAAAAGAGGAATTGTTTGGTCTTTACACATAAAAATTCCCTAGGTCAGAATTGACACATGGCAGCAGAGAGGGAATAGAGAATAGGACAAAAAGATTGGTTATCTAGCTGGAAATCCTACAGGGCAAGGATGACTAGTCATACGTGAAACAGATGACTAGTCATCCTTTTATGAAATCAATTTAATGCAATGCACAATTTACCTTTGTCAATTTGTTTGAACCTCCATAGGATAAATGTTAGATAAGAACACCTAGAGAAGCTATTCTTAATCTAAACTTGCGCTTGATAAAAACAATAAAACTCCTATTACAAAATTGTCAAGAGAAGCCAAAAGCAATATTCAAAATGCATACATTAACAGAATATATGAAAACTCAATTACTGTGTATTCATATAAATTCAATAAATATGTATATGTTTTGAGGTAAGGTCTGGCCCTCAAGTGAATCCTTAAGTCCTTATCTATATTTATGTATATACACTTACAATTCTTTGAGGGCTGACAAATTCCACAAGGTATTAGGTATGGAACCGGAAAGCTGATTGCCGGATAAATCACTGTTTAGCATATATAAGCATACAGAATCAGCATTAATATTTTCGTATAATACATGGAATGGATTCATCGTTAAAGAAGAATGGAAGAATCACTGTTTAAGTATAACATTATAACTGGTAAGCTTATTGCTGGATAAATCACTGTTTAAGTGAGGCATCATATAATCAATCATTTAGCATATAAGTATACAGAATCAACTAATAAATAAGAAATTAATATTGTATATATTTCGTGACAATTAATATAGAAGGGATCGGTTGAAAGACTTTTTTTAAAAAGAAAGATGTAAAATATCCAAAAGAAGTGGCAAAGACAAGTTTTCTGAATCTTTAAAAAAAAAAAATAATCAATTCTCTGAACTCCTTTTATGTTTTTTAACTTGTTGGAATAATGATATGAAATAATTACAGCTTCTCCAAATGCTTAAGCTCCTCCACTTCTTTAGGTATAGAACCAGTTAGAGCCGCGCTGGTAAAGGAACTGCAACACAAATCATTTGAGAAAAATTATTGTTAGAATTAAAAGTTAGACAAATGACATTGTTAAAAGAGCCAGACGAGTGCTCTGTATATATTGTATTAATTTTATTGTGACTTACAACTCCTTGACATGGCAATGATATCTGTTTTTGTCATGTACACAGTCCCCTGTGCACTTGATCTTCAAATTGTTGGTATCCGAGTCTGGATAATGGCAAATTGAGCTATTCAAGTATAATGGTCTGTTATACTGTAACTTCTCTAGGATGGAATTGAGGACGTCCACTGCGAGAGAGGGAGAGAGAGAGAGAGAGAGAGAGAGAGAGAGAGTTATTGAATCTTAATATCTCAAACTCGAGCTGTAGCATCAAGGATTGTGAAATAAAGCAAGACTAAAATGAGTCCACATGCATGTATGTATTATCAGCAAAATAAGAGTCCATCTGGTAACATTTTCACAATACATTTTTGAAAAATGAAAATGAGAAACAAATTTGCATTTTCAAGATCCGAGAATGCCTCTAGTAACTTAGTTAGAAATATATTCAAATAACAAAAACAGTGGAAATGTCTCTAGTATTTCACTATGAGAATAGCATACGCAACAATGAATATGTCACATCTTTCAATTTTTTGTTGAATTTGGGCTCAGTACTCGAGCATATTTTTCATTAACATACTAAACTCACACACACTACACTGATGCTAGGACTCGAACCCAGGACCTTCCCTGATGAAGTAAATATTTCAAATTACTACACTAGTGGGTCCTTTGCATAACAAAACATTTATTAATTCAAATGAGAGAATATGAATAAAAAAGAGAGACGGATGAGAAACAAAACAGTCGTATATACCTTCATGAGGATGCAACTGAGTAGTTGTATCCGAAGATCCATGCCTAAAACCAAACTCACAAAGGAGGAAACTCAGGAGCATAAACTCAGCAAGAAGTCTTGGACGGGTTTCAACCATTGTGCTTTGCTTTCAGATTCTAGTTTACATTGACAACATGCACGCTAAGCCCTCTTCCCCTTTTTATAATGCAACAGGCTGTACCATCTTTCTTTTGTATTATAAATAATTTAACAGAGAAATACTGATCTAATAAATTAAATTTCATTAGGAGCCGCACTTGCCACGCTTGCCACCACTTTTAAGGTGGTCTCAATTATAAGGCTTAAATGCTAAAATAGTCATTGTGTTTTATCATGTTGGCCAATTTAATCCCTGTAATTTTAATTTGGCCAATTTGGTCCCCGTGTTTAAGACCGTTAGCCAATGTGCTTCATTCCGTTAAAATTGCCGTTAAATAAACATAAATGATTTTTTTTTCTTTTTTCTTTTTTGTTGAAAACCTATAAACTTATTTGAAATTAATTTTAAAAATTGAATTCATTTATATAAAAAAATTGAAACTTCATTAAAACCAAAACATAACATTAGGAAGAAAACAGGATGGGCATAATTATAAGGGGGGGGGGAAGGGGGGGATAGGGTGGTGTTTTAGAGAGAGAGAGCTCAGGGGTGGGGAGGATTCGTGTTCAGGAGATGGATAGGGAAGTTGGGGCCTTTGGGTCTGGTTGCGGGGAAGTAGCTGGGAGAAAGAGAGAAGAGAGAAGGGTGGTGGTATCATCCCCTGATTTTAATTTCTTTTAGTTTTAGATCTTTTTCCTTTTATTTTTTATTTTTTTGTAACAAGAGCCCAGAACAACATTTTAGATCTTATTTAATTATCTATTTTCAAATTGAATTCAAATATATCTATTTTCATTAATATTTAAACAGTTTTAACATTTTTTTAATATAAATTTAACGGATTGGATCATATTGGCTAACTATCCTAAACACAGGGATCAAATTAACCAAATTGAAAACACAGGGATTAAATTGGTCAACGTGATAAAACATATGGACTATTTTAACATTTAAGCCTTAATCTTAACCTAAATCCTTTGCACATTGATTTTTGTCGTGTATAATTTCAATGCATGACGCACACAGTCCGCAAACTATATTTTGGGGAGGGGGAACATTTTTGCTCACCACTTTAACCCAAGGTGTACCCTCATCAACATTCTCAACATTTAACACGTGTCTATTGACATAACAATGATTGCATACATACAAAGTAAAGAATTAACTATTGTTATGCCAAGGAACACGTGTCAAGTGTCGAGAATGGTGGTGATGGTACACCTTGGATTAAAGTGGTGAGCAAAATATACTAAAAGGGCGGGGGTGGCGGCGGCAAACTATTGTGGGGGAAAGAAATATGCCTTTCACTTTCTCTCTCCATCACTCCAAATAATGATGACAATTGGAAAGGCGCAAAAAAAAAAAGAAGGGCTAATCCATCTTTAATTACTTTGTATATTATTATAGTGGACACTAGTGGATATGAATTACTTCAGGAAGTTTGAATTGGTCATATTTATCGATAAGGTAGCAGATGCACTGTCAAACTGATTACAGTTTCATGAGAGAATTGGAGTTGTGATGACGAGGAATGGTGGTACCAAAACAACTAGTACCTGCAGTTTCATGGAATTCTACGAGAATATCATGGGGACTAGTGTTCTACCAGATCCACCAGATCAACAACAATCAATGTTGCTTGTTGATCAAGTTCCTCATCACCAACAAGAAGATAATTGCACCACAAATTCGAATGGTTTTTATTTGAGTTTTAAGCTGACTCTATTCCTTTTTCTTGGTCCCAATAAAGAAAAATGTATCAGATTTTTTTGTTTAAAAATATTACCTAAGGCTTAATCAGTGATCTTTTGAAACATGCGTTCTGTTTAGCTCAGATAGAAGTGGGTAACAACATCACATTGCTGATCACCCAATCAATTTTCTTATTGAAAACATATTTATGCATTAACAACCAAATACAAAATATTACAACTAATCTACTTCAGGCTGCCGATATCTTACATTCTGTTCTGTCGAGTACTGTGTAACTACAGAAACCAATCCACTGAAATTGGGAAGGGAAAAAAACGTGAAAGAAGAAAACGAAAAAGAAATAAAAATACCCTCACTCCAAAACCGAGAAAACTTCTCACTCATGCACAATTGCATTGTCCAGAAAGAATTTGAAAACCCCGACCAACCCATGGAGAGATCCGCTCAAACACTAAGCCGTCCGCACAAATTAGCTCACACTTGATTCCACAAGCCCTTGCATCGGGATTTTCTTTATCCACCCCTTGAACTTTGGGCGAGAGATACCGTTGGGTGGGTTGTATAAATCAGATTTACGAGTGCATAATGAACAAATCCTCACATATCATCTTCACTTTGTCACAGCAGACCGGCTAGCATAGCCCCGGGATCTGTTAATGCTGCAGCCGGACTGGTTGGCTGAGCTATTGGAGGTGCTGGTGGCACTGGTCCAGGTGCACGAGGGGCTGTAGGGATGCTACCACTACAAAAAAAACACACAACAGTCACTTTTTTTTTTCGTGACTTTTGGCAGCATTAGCCACGAATATTCGTGACTAAAGTCATTAGTAACGGTGCAGTTACAAGTTTTGCCTTCGTGACTTTTGTGGCCGTAACTATTGAGTTTTGTCACCATTAAAACACCATTTCGTAACAAATTGTGTTGACCATCCTATTGCTCCAAAGTGGGCCCTGTTGGATATTTATCCATTTTTGTTATTTGATTTATTTAGTTAATTTGCTTATGCTAATAATCCCTATTTGTCAGGAAACATGGTTAGTGTTTGACCTAATCTTTAGGAGAATCCCAATAGTCTAGGGTTGTTAGACGTGGGATATTTTGTTGCTTATTTTTCTGATTACTTGTTTCTTGTACGGCTATTTATGCCAGTCTTTGGAGTCAATGAATGATTGAACATTCTCTCAGACTTTTGCACTCTTTAGCTTTCGAATTTCTAGTTCTTAACAGGCCCCACATCATGTCTAATCAGATTATACTTTATATTTTATTATTTTATTTAATTTGACTGTACTGTCCAACATCATTTCATTATCCTTTTTAGTTTTAAAATAGAAACCCTTTCCATTATTATTTGTGTTATATTTGTGTATTATATTTTTCACAATTATAATAATTTCCAATTCATTTTTATTTATATTTTTAGCTGAAATCCAGATCCCTTACCGAAAATCATTCCTGAAATTAAACCCACATGAAAACTTCAAAAAAACAAAACCTTTACCTTTCTAAGGGGAGATGCGGTTCAGATCTGAATATTAACCCACGAAAAGGATAAGGCCAGGCCAGACAACAACTGGTCTTCGAGGGAGAGCGGGAATAAGGAGAAGAAGGAAGAGAAGAGAGAGGGATGGAAAAAAAGAAAGAAAAAAGAGAGATATGGTAGACGCGCAAAAGAGGAAGCAGAGGAAAAAATTGCAGAGTGACAGAGAAAGAAGCAGGAAAAAAGGAGAGAGAGAGAGAAGAAGAAGGAAAAAATAAAAATTAAAGGAGAGGAAGAGATGGGAAGTGACGGAAGGAAGAAGAAGATGGGGAAAAAATAAAAAAGAATGAAGGCTTTGGGAGAAATGAGATATGGGGAGAATAAAAAATTACAAAAGAAAGAAAAAGAGAGGTTGGTTTGGGTGGGCGCATCTAAAGGCAAATGCATGCTCTCACTTTTTTTAATATAATATTTATTATTTAGAGTACTAATTATATAGAGGGAAGGAAAAAAAGCCTTGGTTAGTGAGAAAGATTCCATTTACATATTTTTATTAAATTGCCTTTGTAAATATTTTATTATGGAAAAGCTTA